ATTGGTAAAAGTTATGGATGTTTGATTTGATTGTTTAGCTCTTAGAGAATGGTTCTTACTTCTTAGTCTCTGGAATTGTGAAATCTCTCTTTTGGTTTGTTTTGGCATTGCAGAAGTTTAAGCTTCCGCCATCAGCGAGTCGGTGGAAGAGGAAGCTCTACTACTTTCTGCGTAACAAGTTGAAGTTTCCCGGTGAGTTCTTTAATCTTTTGCTCGCATCTTCTGCGATTTCCAACCACTTATGAGTTCATTGATATGTGTTGTGTGATGATCTAGATATCATTCTTATGGGAATTTTCTCTTTAAGTCTAAAGATGTGGGTTATTATCACCTTGTGGTTTATATTGGCGCCTCTTGCCCATCGTTGGGAGCTCGGTCCTTTATTTGTAAGTCCTCTTCATCTTCAATGTCTTGATAAGGTCTCGTGTTTTTGCAATACCATTGGACATCCTGTGTACTGACATATCATATACTTGATCACTTGGTTCAAATGTTTAAACAAGTCGTTTCTCTTTTATCTCCTTTGATGGGTTTCTTCGTTATTATGGGTTTCAGATACTAGGGACTGGCTTTTCAATCATCTTGCTGAATCTTGGTAAACGTCAACCCGGTGATGTCAGGTATTTACATTTCCAAAACACTTTAGCCTCCGTTGATCTTACTGGCATAGCAACTCATTTGATTAGGGCTGTGGTTTTATATGACTCGCGCTCATCTAAAATGTAAAGAAGGAAAGATACACACACTCATCTAAAATGTAAACATCCTTGATAACACGAGAATCCTAAGATAAAAAAAAAATCTTAGGATTCTGGAAGCATAAGATTCTGCCAGTAGTTTTATTAGCTGGAAAGTGGAATGCTCATGACTATTTGTTAAGTTTCAAGCTGTGAAAAAACCCTCTCTTTTGATTGTAAGAACTGAATAAGTTCGGTCTTTTCTCATGCTTTCTTTCGCAGCGCATATTCCATATTCAATGAGGATTTTAGAGAGCTTCCGGGTACATATAATGCAGAGCGTATAGACCGGGACATACGAGCAGGCCAGATATGATGCAAAAGTGCATTGAAATCAATCCATTTGCGTACTTAGAAGATTCACATCAACCAACGAAAGTAAAAACCCAATAGGCAAACCAAGATCAGTTTTGTTCGTCCTGTTAGATTGAGACACAACACAAAGCATAAACAGTACTTGAGACCAAAATTCCTATTGATGTACATGAGATCTAATCTTTTCAGTTCCATGATCAATGGTCAGTATTGCACTAGAAATATTTATATTACAACATTATATATACTTTTGAAATAAGTATATGATACAAGTTTTATCATATGACTTATAAGTGTGAAAATGAGTTCTAGGTCAACTTAGGTGCTATCAAACTTGATCTGCAAAATTTCAGTAACCAAATCTGCTTTTCTAGTGTTTCAAAGTTGGCTGACACTTTTTACTAGTTTTTACCTTTGACAATTTCCCTGTCTTATAAATTCCAGAAAAAAATAATTAGCTCAAAAGTCTATCAAGTAGAATTGGGATTAATTATTAAAATAACACAAAAAGACATGTTCTTTAAGGTATTTATGTGTGTACACATCTAAAGTAAACGCGTTTCTGATTTCAATTAAACCGAACACTTTTGCTTTTCTACGGATTTGGTGAAGAAAAAATAAACCGAACAATAATTAAATTTTGAAATTGCATTTTCATGGATAATTAAACATTTTGAATTTATAAAGGGGTTTCTTGGCCGTGACTTGTGATTTGTAGTTGGAGAGTGGCTTTGCCAATTCTTGACGGCACGTAACGTTTTCAGAAAAAAGTCAAATTTCTCGGTTATCTACAAAAAATAATGTGTGAACAATTTGTCCAAAATGTTACGTACTATATGAGTTTATTTTCGGTTTAATTTAAAATGGTGATAATTTTAGTATATATGATGAATGATCAACTACTTCAAGTATATTTTGAATATATGTAACCTAATTAAAACAGAAATTCTGAAATCTTAACTTGATGAACAAAAAAAAAAGTATTAAAGTAATAATTTAAGCAAAGGGGACAAGACAAAAAGTCAGCGCGGGAAAGGGAATCCGACAAGTATGACGTCGTTTCAGCGGAGGAGTCTACGAGGTGGGTCCCACATGTCAACACAATCGTTGACTATTGTTCTTTGATCTTCCCATCCGTGGACCATACTTCGCCTAATCGTAATTAAGTTATCCAATAGTACGACTAATTCTCATCTAATTAAATGAGGCAGGAATATCATTTAAGAAAGAATCATAAACTGACCTGTTTTCTTTCCGTAATCATAAACTGACATGAGATTACACGGAACTATCTTCTCCGTAAGAAAGCATGCACTTTTTCGTGCAATGTGATATCTGTCGTAATTAATAATTATCACTTTATTTATAAAATATTTCATGATTTTAATGTAAATTCTACTGTATTTCTTTGTTATGAATTATGATTATTTATTTTGTACAAAGCACAACTAGATTAAAAGGTCTGTGAAACTTTTCTAGCCCATGTCCGATTTTTTTCATTAATATGATATTCTCCGTTTTTAGGAGGCAAATCCGGCACAGATTTGTTTTTGGGCTTATTCCCAAAATGCTTCATATTAGAGTTGGACATCTCTTATATATTAGACAATTCTTGTCTAAACTTTCGATGTGGGACTTGAATTGATATCCCAACAATCATCCCCTCAAACCAAGGATCACATAGACCTGTGTCCTTCCACCTCCAACGAAACTTGGCACCCATCTTGTACCGCCGTAATCACCAACAGAACCCGCCGCCTAACCTTCCACTTAGTTAGGAAGACTTTCGACACAAGGCACCGACACCCTTTAATCGCGATGTCACCTTGAGGGTTCTCTTCCCACAACGAACTTGCATCTCACACCCACTTCTCCTGGTCCACTTTTTCTGAACCTGAGCTCTGATACCAATTGTGGGGCTTTTCTAGCCCATGCCCAACTCTTCCCATTAGTATGATATTGTCCGCTTTGGGCTCAGAGGCAAAGCCCGCACGGATTTTTTCTTGGGCTCCTTCCCAAAAGACCTCATACTAATTAGAGTTGGACATCTCTTATATATTTATATATTAGACAATTATTGTCTAAACTTCCGATGTGGAACTTGGATCGATATCCCAACAAGATCTCTTAGTAGTTCGTAAATCTTGTTTTATGAATTACGAAAGTTTTCTTAGGTAGTCATTCTACTATGTAGCCGTATATATTAAAAATATAGTATATTTTAAATATTTTTACAATCGAGAGGAGTCGAATCCAGAAGTTTCTGAATGTTTTGAATAAATACACCACTAGACTTATTAAATTTGGGTT